AGGCGTAAGCCACCATGAGTGGCCCCGCTAATATAATTTTAAATGTAAAATGTTGTGGGATTGTGCTCATTATTTTGAGTACAATTTCTACCTGGAAATCTCTAATTAAATGAATTTAAAAAGAAGACACAGGTATTTGAGATATTAAAACAATGCATAGTTTAATAGAAATTGAATATAAATTCCCCAATGGGAATTTGGGACCTTTAGCTATCATTGTCTCAAGATTTGAACTGGGACAGAAACCTTACTGAACAACTATTACTTCTAACTCTCATTACCTACGTATTTGTAAGTTTATTGTTGTTGTTAGTCAAAAAAGGTTTGGATTTACCTCTTCACCCCTCATTCATATAATCCTCATGATTTCTGTTGGATTCCATATTTAAACACAGTTTGAGAGGCGGCGCCGTAGCTCAGTGGGTAGGGTGCTGGCGGCATACACCAAGGCTGGCGGGTTCAAACCCAGCCCGGGCTAGCTAAAACAGCAATGACAACTGCAACAACAACAAAAATAGCCAGGCACTGTGCTGGGCCCCTGTTGTCCCAGCTACTTGGGAGGCTGAGGCAAGAGAGTTGCTTAAGCCCTAGAGTTGGAAGTTGCTGTGAACTGTGACGCCACAGCACTCTACTGAGGGTGACATAGTAAGACTCTGTCTCGAAAAAAAAAAAAACACAGTTTGAGAGATTTCATTTTATTTAAACCAACACCTGCTATACATTTTTCCAACCCTTTTCAACCCTTTTGTGTTTTGTGTTTTCATTACTTTGTGGCTACGATTATTCAACAGATTTTTATAAGCACCTCCATGGGCTATACCAGAGAACTCGGGAAGCTCACAATCGAGTGGAAGAGCCAGATATCAACAGATCATTACAGAACATGTGGGTGCAAGTATGACAGTACAGAAGGGCCCACCCCACCCAGCCTGTTAAGGGCAGAAGACAGAGGAGTCTCCTGAAAGAGGAGATGCCTAGTGGGAGGACGAGTTAACTGAGGAGCAAAGGTCAGAGACTGCGGAGCCACAGAGGAATGGTGGGGAGCGATGGTGTTTCAGACAAAGGAAACCATATGAACAAAGTCATAAAAGCAAAAAGCAACAGTGTCGATTACCCCATTTCTATGTGGGCAAGAGACTTGAACAGAAACTTCACAGAAGAAGACAGGCACACGGCCTACCAACACATGAAAAATTATTAAATAAATAAAATAAAGCCTTATAAATCTAAATCAACAACAACAACAAAGCAACAGTGACCTAGTGCTGCAGAGGCAACTTAACACGGACTCTGAGACCAGACTGCCTGGATTTAAATCCTGGCTCTGCTGTTTGCTAAATCTACGACCTTTGGCACATCATTTAACCTGCAATGCCTCTGTTTCCTCATGTGTAAAGTGGGCTTAGTTATAATACCTATTGGCTTGGCACCCATAGCACAGTGGTTATGGCACCAGCGACATACACTGAGGCTAGCGGGTTTGAACCCAGTCCTGGCCAGCTAAACAACAATAACGACTGCAACAAAAAAATAGCCAGGTGTTGTGGAAGGCACCTGTAGTCCCAGATACTTGGGAGGCTGAGGCAAGAGAATCCCTTAAGCCCAAGCATTTGAGGTTGCTGTGAGCTATGATGCCACAGCACTCTACTGAGGGCAACAGTGAGACTCTGTCTCAAAAATAATAATAATAATACCTACTTCATAGTATGGTCTTGAGGGTCAACATTATCATACAAGAAGTACTTGGAATTGTGGCTGGCATGTAGGAAGAATGAAATAGATGTTCTTTTTATTATAAAGCAAACGACAGAGTGTAAAGTAATCAGGCTGGAATATGGGCACTAGTCGAATCTTGCAGGTCTTGTCTGCCAGAATGATGACCTTGTGTTATAAATAACAGGGAGTCCAAAAAGATTTTAAGCAGGGATGTGACAGGAGAGAAGTTGTGATTTTGCTACATCACTCTGGTTTTTATAAGATGCAGCTGAGAGAATGAATGGACCCAGTCAGACCAATCAATAGACTGCTCTATTAATGGAGGCCTGCATTAAGGTAATGATAGCAGGATATATGGGGAGTGTTGAAATAAATATTTAAGAGGTTAAATCTGCAGAACTTTATTGATTATGAGGGATTGTAAAGAGGGAAGAGTTGAGCTTCAGTTACACAGGCATTAAAAAATCAATTCAAAACTTTAAGTAAGGCTACTTGAGGAAATAATCAAGTCCTATGTGTTGACAGATGAGTATCTTTAAGGAAACAAACTACTTTTTGTTTGTTACAACCCAGAGACAAGACTAACAAGATTACTAACTATGACCTAGCTGAAAATGACCCTGGTTATTGGAGGGAGAGAGAGAAGGGGGGTAGGTCAATTCCCACTCAGTGGGTACATTGCACAAGTATGCTACGTGCTTTCGGACAAGGACACACCTATAACTCTGACTTCATCCCACAAAACCAAACTACGTAACTGAAATGTATGTACCCTCATAAAAATCTGAAATTAAAAAAAAAAAAATCAGTTAGCCACACATCTATTCTGCAAGAATTGCTGCAATTCTTCCCAGTAAAGTTACTCTGTGTGCACAGTTATCTAAACTGATGATAAAGAGCTATGGTCGTTATGCCCATTCTGTACCCACTGAGGAAGAAGTTCTGTCTATCGTGATTAACATTGTTCAGTTCAATTCACTGCATAAAATACTTTGAATTTAATTTCATGGATAATTGTATTCTTAAAAACAGAAATAGCAGTTGCATTTTTTAGTTGCATTTTGTTAAAATACTTTGAATTTAATTTCATGGATAATTGTATTCTTAAAAACAGAAATAGCAGTTGCATTTTTTAGTTGCATTTTGTTAAAAGATGCTGTTTATTAACATTTTCAAATCTATCTTTTTTTTTTTTAAGAGATAGGATTTTTCTCTGTACTCTTCTAGACAGTGGCATGATCAAAGCTCACTTCAGCCTTAGTCTCCTGGGTTCAAGTGAAATGATCCTCCTACCTCAGCCTCCCAAATAGCTGGGACTGTTGGCGTGCACCATCACACTTGGCTAATTTTTTAATTTTCTGTAGAGAAGTGGTCTTGCTGTGTTGCCCAGGCTGGTCTCCTGTACTCAAGTAATCCTCCTGCCTCAGCCTCCCAAAGTACTAGGATTACAGGCGTGAGCCACTGTGCCTGACCTTCAAATTCATCTTCATTGGCAATGCTTCTGCAGATTTTCATAAGTCACAAATATTCTAGTAACAGATCAGGAATTCCGTACCCATCTATAATTCTGAGCATGTATCTGAAACTCTGCCTGATATGTCTGTTGATATAAGGTGGTTGACGTGTTACCTTGATCACATTGCTTTGTGTCACTTCACATGGCATAGCCTCTCTCATCATTGGTATATAATCTTATATCACTGTGCTCGCTTGCCTCTTGCACTCCAGAAGTATTTTCAGATAATGATCTCCCATTTGGCTTGTGTCAGATAATTTTGTACTGTGTTTCCATGAACAGATGTGCGTACAGATGCTCTTTAGAAATGCATATTTTGAGTTCCATAACATAGTGAGTCACTTTGAAAAACTCATGTCTTTTTTCTGTTAGCTATCCACAGTGATTATGCTTATTCAAAGAAGAGAATCTTGTGGGGCTTTGTATTTCAGTTAATTCTGCAGTTCCATGATCAGGCATAGGGGAAATGCCTGGCCCAGCAGAGGCCTCCAGAACTTGGCTGCAGCACCGCGGCCATTCTCATGGGTCAGTGCTGGTGACATTTCATTGTTACGAGTTCTTAATATCGCTTTTGCTTGTGTTCATGATTCAGGACTTTCTCCGCAGAAGAATTCTGCTTCAGGAAGCAGAGGTTTATCTTAAATGGTTATTTTATGTTAGATTCTCCCAATGATAATCTTTGTTTTGTTTTGTTTGTTTTCTGGGTAGAGTTCAGTGTGTCACAGCTCACAGCAACCTCAAATGCTTGGGCTTAAGCGATTCTCTTGCCTCAGCCTCCCAAGTAGCTCAGACTACAAGCACCCGCCACAACGCCCAGCTATTTTTGTTGTTGTTGTTGTTGTTGCTGTTACAGTTGTCATTGCTGTTTTAGCAGGCCCGGGCTGGGTTCGAACCCAACAGTCTGGGTGTATGTGGCTGGTGCCCTACCCACTGAACTACAGGCAGCACCATCTTTGTTTTTTTTGGTTTTTTTTGTTTTTCTTTGATCTTCAGAATTTTTCAATCCATAACTAAGCTGTTATGATTGGTAAAAACACTAAGCCCTATTTGACAGTAGGGAAAGAGGAGTAAAATCTATTTCCGAGGGAACTAAATTTTAATCTAGTTAATTTTTTCAACCAGAGAATCAAATGGTTCTGCCATACAGATGCATTTTATTTGTGTTACTCCACAAGAATCCAGGGACAGATAAACATTCAGTTTTGGTACAACTCTGAAGCTCTCTTCCCTCTCACTTTAAAAAAGACTTTATAATCTTTTTAGTGTCTTGAAATTCAGGCTGTAAAATAATTAACTGTTCATGGTATAGATTCCCTGACCCTTATAAGCATCATTTAGGAAAAGTTTAGAAAATTGACCTCTTGAGACATATATAAATACCTTGATTTTATAATCTGACATTTGCTAATTTCTATAAATACTGGCCATTTGTTACACCCCACGAAAGCTGTTGAAAAGATAAAGTATTCTCTTTTTTTTTTTTTGGCAGTTTTTGGCCAGGGCTGGGGCCAGGTTTGAACACGCCACCTCCGGTATATGGAGCTAGCACCCTTCTCCTTAAGCCACAGGTGCTGCCCCCAAAAGATAAAATAATTCTAATAGAATGTCAGTGTTTCCTTCTCAAATAGATCTCTTTTTTTCTGCTGACTCACAGCTATATATCTTTTCTCAAAATAAGTAATTTCTTAGAGTTTTCCACTTAGAAATTCTGTAATGTTATTTTTTGTATAAGTTAACATGGTATTTTTAATGTTTTTTTTCCCTGCAGGTATTCTTGGCGTCACCAACTGAGGGAATTTAAAAGTGAATATCGAGTGGTAGCGCTGGATTTGAGAGGCTATGGAGAAACAGATGCTCCTATTCGTCGAGAAAATTACAAATTAGACTGTCTAATTACAGACATAAAGGATATTTTAGATTCACTAGGTAGGTTAGTTTTTAAAAAGTATTCATTCTTTTCAAGGGGCTAACATTTAACAAATTGTGAAATTGATAACTTCTTTTCTTGGGAGGATGCATTTTCTATCTACCCTAGCTGTTATCTGGATCATGTCCCCATAGTTTTGGTTATACAGAAACTGTTTATACATAAAATTTATGATTTTATTTTATTTTTATTTTATTTTATTTGTTGAGGCAAATAAAATGACACACTGGCACAATGATAACTCACAGCAGCCTTGAGCTCTTGGGCTCAAGTGATCTTTCAGCCTTGGCCTACCAGAGTGCTGTTATCGGAGGAGTGAACCACCAGGCCAGGCCTATACAGTTTTAAAATAATGCCTCCAGAGAAACTATTTAGTCCCCCGCTGCCAAGAATGACTTTCAAGAGTTGTTTTTAAAAATAGACTTAAGGGGCCAGGGCAGTGGCTTATGCATGTAATCCTAGCACTCTGGGAGACTGAGGCAGATGCATTGCCTGAGCTCAGGAGTTGGAGACCAGCCTGAGCAAGAGCAAGATCCCATCTCTACTAAAAATAGAAAAACTAGCCAGGCATGGTGGTACACGCCTGTAGTCCCAGCTACTCGGGAGGCTGAGGCAAGAGGATGGCTTGAGCCCAAGAGTTTGAGCTATGATGTGAGCTATGATGATGCCACAGCACTGTAACCAGGGCAACAGAGTAAGACTCTGTCTCAAAAAAGAAAACCACAATAGACTTAGTGTATGCTATTTATTATTTTCAGAGCTAATTATTGAAATTTTGATTTTTGCACTCAGAAAGTTTATTTCTTCAGAATGCACACCTCAATATTCATTTTAAAATGTTAGGACATGCAGAAGAAGTTGCATTATTTCTTTCATATTGATCGCCTACAGCACATGATATTGTGTGACCAACCACCCCAAATTCAGTGACATAAGGCCAAAACCATTTATTCCTGTGTCCACCGATGTGCAGGTCAATTGTAGGCTGGACTCCTCTGGGTCTTTGCCTCAGGCTGCAGGTCCAGCTGAGACCAGCTTCTCATTATGAGTTGGGCTGGACCCCAGGCTAAAGATAAACAGCAGCCTGAGAGAAGCTCATCTCCTAGCAGTGGCAGAGGTAGCAAGAGAGTGAGCTCTGCTGCAATAGCGTACTTCAAGTTTCTGCTAGCAACCCACTGGCCAAAGCAAGTTGTATGGTGGAGCTCAACATCAAGTCTGCAGCCACCAGGAGACCAAAGCAAAGCACATGGCCAAGTCCATGGGTCAAAGGGGCAGTGAAGTATACTGCTTCTATGGCAGTTGGGACAGGGAAGGAGTGAATATATTTTAATAATAATCCAGTCTACTACATCCCCTTTGACTAAAACCAGACTACTACCTATAGTCAGTGTGCTACTGGAACCAATATAGTGAGAAATATCATGAAATCAAAGGCCCTTCTTACAATAATCTGAGATCTGGCCAATATTTTTATTTTTTACTTAATTTTTTTTCATTTCAATAGATTTAGATGTTCAAGTGGTTTTTGATTATGTGGATGAATCCTATGGGGTGAAATCTGAGCTTTTAGTGCTTTCATCACTCAAATTGTGTGCCTTGTATCCAATAGGTAATTTTTCTTCTCTCACCCCCTGACAAACTTGCCCCTTCTGAGTCTCCAGTGCTCATTCTATCACTCTGTTTGCCCCTGTATATCATAGCTTAGCTCTCACTTATAAGTGAAAACATGTAATGTTTAGTTTTTCATTTCTGAGTTACTTCCCTAAAGATAATGGCCTCCAGTGCCATCCAAATCGCCAGAAAAAAACGTTATTTCATTCCTTTTTATGGCTGAGTAGTATTCCATGGTGTATATAGACCACATTTTCTTTATCTACTCATCAGCTGATGGGCACTTAGGTTGATTCCATGTCTTTGCAACTGTGAATTGTGCTGCAATAAACATACAAGTGCAGGTGTCTTTTTAATATAACAACTTCTTTTCCTTTGGGTAGATACCAAAGGAAATTGGGATTGTTGGACTGAATGGTAGATCTGCCTATACAGGGCAAAGGTTGCCATACATACATACATAGCTGAATGTACCTTTATTTACAAAATATTCATTACAAAATTTTATAAAATATCTATGTGTTGCTATATAAATATTAAAAATATTTATAATAAATATAATATGAGTTTGTTAATTTTTCCTGTATATGACCACCTTTGGGATCCTTGAGAAATCTCCATACTGTCATTCCCCCCACCAGTGTATAAGCAGTTCCTTTCCACTGTATCTCCACCAAAATAGATTGCTTCTTGACTTTCTAATAATGCCTATTCTGATTGGTAACATAGTGTCTCATTGTGGTTTTAATTTTCATTTGTTTGGTAATTGAACATTTTTTCTTTCTTTCTTTTTTTTTTTTTTTTTTTTGAGACAGAATTTTTTTATGTCACCCTTGGTAGAGTGCCATGGTGTTACAGCTCACAGCAACCTCAGACTCTTGGGCTTAAGCAGTCTCTTGCCTCAGCCTCCCAAGTAGCTGGACAACAGGCACCCACCACGACGCCCAACTATTTTTTGTTGCAGTTGTCATTGTTGTTTAGCTGGCCCAAGCCAGGTTCCAACCCACCAGCCTTGATGTATGTGGCTGGTGCTGTAATGAGCATTTTTTCATATGTTTCTTAGGCCAATCTTTTTATTATTTTATTTTTAAAAATTTGATTTGATTTAATTTATTTTTGTTTGTTTGTTGTGAAACAGAGTCTCACTTTGTTGCCCTCAGTAGAATGCCATGGCATCATACCTCACAGCAGTGTCAAACTCCTGGGGGCCAATATTTTTAGAATAAAAAAAAATGGACAAGGTCTGAAGATGTCAACATGCAGTATTGTTATTTAGTCTGATTATAGTAAAATAGACTCAGACACTGATTTTGAACAGTTAAATTTTATGCAGATTTTGTGATAATTCAGTGAGACCTAGCCTAAATTTGTCATCATGAAATTTTTAGTCAAGTAAATACAAACAAGATAGTGTATACATGTGTATATTAGTTTAGCAGTGAGGACTGATGGAGGGAAATACTTGAGAGAATTAATTTTGCGTATGCCAGGAATAAATTACAAATGAAACTTACCTATCCATACAATGGCAATCCTGTCAGAATCTCTATTAATCAATCTCTGTTAATTTTAACCTAACTGAAACTGCCATAATGATTACATGAAATGAAACTTGTTTATAAATGGTACTACAGTTCAGACTTCCTCCTAGTTCAGATTGACTTCACACTTCCAAATTAGTGACATTTTACTGTGTTGAGTTATAACATTTGTAAAGTAAGGGAGAAAATAGATGCTTCCTGGAAGTAAAGATTTACAAGTTGGACATGGAAGAGGCATTTATGATTTTACTATAACTAAAAATTTCTCAGCATTCAAAAAATAACCCGAATAATCTAATTTATGACCTAGTTATGTGCAGCCTTTACCACTGTTTCCAGACTCAGGTTCGTGGAACCAGAGGTCAGCTGGTTAATTCAGATTTAACAAAAAATATATTCCTGGGAGATAGTCTCAATCTGTAGGTCTGGAGTGGAACTATCTCAATGACTCAAGTTTTGACACCACTGAACTCAATGTATCTGTACAAAGTGCATAATTAAGATAGGATAGGGGAAAGAGTAGTTTCAGAAGTTTAGCTATTTTATGTGAGGTAACTCATTCATGATGTCAACATTTATTTGATTACAGGTTATAGCAAATGTGTTCTGATTGGCCATGACTGGGGAGGCATGATTGCTTGGTTCATTGCCATCTGTTATCCAGAAATGGTGATGAGGCTTATTGTTATTAATTTCCCTCATCCAAATGTATTTACAGGTAAGTTGAAATTTTCATTAAAACTTCTAGTCTGAAAATTCACTATTGTCGCTGACATTGTAGATTAAAAACAGCAAAATGTGGTTAACATAATCTTTTAAATGTTAGACGACTAAACCATGGGAGTGCATCACAATCTCAGCTACCTTGGTTTAAAATCTTGCCAAGGAGTCTAAGAAAATGTAGCTTCATATTTCCTTTCATGATTTTATTCCTTTTTTCAAAATATTTTATTGTTAACTTGGGAAGGGGTAAAGGGGAAAATGCAGTGATACTACTTTGACGGTAATGAATCCTGACAGCCTAGAAATAAATTCACCTCTTGCCTGATGCTTTGGCTGTCAGAAATAGCAGTGCTCTTTAAACCAGAAGTTCTCAAATTTTGGGTCTCAAGACTTCTTTCTACTTTTAAAATGATTAAAGACCCCGTTGAGCTTTTATTTATATGAGTTATATCTATAAATATTCACTTTATTGAAAATTAAAACAAAAAAAATTTTAAGTATATATTAATTCATTTTTTAAAGCCCCATTACACATTAACATAATTTTTTTTTTTTTTTCTGAGACAGAGTCTCACTATGCCAACCTCATAGAGTGACGTGGCATCATAGCTCCTTAAATTCTCGGGCTTAAGCCATTCTCTTGCCTCAGCCTCCCAAGTAGCTGGGACTATAGGCAGCCACCACAATGCCTGGCTATTATTTTTGTTTTGTTTTGGAGACAGAGTCTTACTATGTCACCCTTGGTAGAGTACCATTGCATCACAGCTCACAGCAACCTCAAACTCTTAGGTTTAAGCGATTCTCTTGCCTCAGCCTCCCAAGTGGCTAGGACTACAGGCATCTGCCACAACACATGGCTTTTTTTTTGTTGCAGTTGTCATTGTTGTTTAGCTGGCCCAGGCCAGGCTGAACCCAGCAGCCTTGGTGCATGTGACTGGCACCATAATCCCTGTGCTACGGGCAGCGAGCCTATTTTTGTTGTTTTGTTGTTGTTGTTGTTGTTGTTGTTGTAGTTGTTGTTGCTTGGCAGGCCCCAGGCCAGGTTCAAACCAGCTAGTCCCTGTGGATGTGGCTGATGCCCTAGCCACTGAGCTATCGGCGCTAAGCCCATAAATTTCTTCTTGTTGTTGGTTTTTTTTTGTGTTTTTTTTGAGATAGTTAAAAAAGATAGTCACTCTAGCACCCTAACAAGAGTGCCGTGGCATTATAGCTCACAGGTTCAAGTTCTTGGGCTCAAGTGAGCCTCTTGCCTCAATTTTTCTATTTTTAGTAGAGATGGGGGTCTCACTATTGCTCAGGCTGGTCTGGAGCTCCTGATCTCAAACAATCCACCTGCCTCTGCCTCCCAGAATGCTAAGATTATAGGCATGAGCCACCATGCCCAGGCAAATAACTTATTTTAATGAAAACTATATCTTTCAAAAGCAAATGTTAGTGAAAAGAGTATCATTATTTAACATTTTTGCAAATCTCTTCAATTTTTGGATTAATAGAAGATAGCTGGATTCTCATATCGGTCCTGCATTCAGTCTGTTGCAATATGTTGTTTGAATTGAAGTATATGAAGAAATCTGGCCTCATACAAATTTTAATTGGAAAAGGGATGAATATTTTAATAACCTTTTCATCTGAGTATGGATTTTCTTCCTTAATACTATGCCAAACTTAAAAATTCATTATTTCTTAAAGGTTAATAACAACATGGAATGTGATAACATAAAAATGAACAATTTGTATGCTGTAACATTAAAACCCATTAGTCTCCCAGGCACTTTGAATGGATCTTTTATCCTTGCATGATTTTGTAGACAGTGGTTTACACTGTCTTCTTTTCGAAGACAGTGGTTCCCTGAGTGATGCAGATCTGCCATAAGGTGACACATTTTATGATACATATCAAAAAATCACATTCATTAGTATCACCCCAATCTGTCAGAAAAGTATTGCAAAGCTGGCAAGCTCACAATCGCAAATATAAGTTTTCCAAAATTCTAATAATTAATTTGAAAGTCTGGATTTTATCAATGGCAACAAATATTGTGGATTGTTTTCCCTGAAGTGACAGGCTCACTTTGTTCATTTTCAAGAGATTGTCTGCCAAATACCCATGTCTAACTGATGACCCATGTCTTTCAAATAAAAATGGTGTTGCATAAAAAACCCAGCTAAGTCAACTCATCAAGTCAAGCAATTGCAGAAGTACTTTTCCTTGAGACAACCATCGTGTCTGGGTGGGAGCAGAACTGCTGTCTGTGTGCCTTCTATTTCATCACTCAGAATGTTAAAAAGAGATGCTCAAAGGTTGAGATTTTTTTTTTTTTTTTTTTTTGAGACGGAGCCTCAAGCTGTCCTCCTGGGTAGAGTGCTGTGGCATCACACTCACAGCAACCTCCAACTCCTGGGCTCAAGCGAGTCTCCTGCCTCAGCCTCCCAAGTAGCTGGGACTACAGGCGCCCGCCACAACGCCCGGCTATTTTTTGGTTGCAGCCATCGTTGTTTGGCGGGCTCGATTCGAACCTGCCACCTTAGGTGTATGTGGCTGGCGCCTTAGCCGCTTGAGCCACAGGCGCCGAGCCAAAGGTTGAGATTTAATGCAATTAATAATTTTTGCTATTTCATCAAGGCCATTGTTAAATGAAACTGGCACTTAATTAATTTATTTGCTGCAAGTGTGTGGTGGTGAAGAATATAATGACGACTAGTATTATTTAGTGCCGCTACCTTGATTTGTGCTAAAGCAGCTGTGATTTTATCCATTGTTGCTTTTGTACCATCAGTGCAAATATCAACATAATGAGAAAAAAAGCAAAGAATAACTTAGTATTGTTACGAAATAGCTTGGACCAGCTGTATGCCTTAAAAGGGCCTTGGGGATCCCCAAAGTGTCACATGGACTACACTTGGATGAACCTCTATCTTAAAGGGAATGCTTAAAAATTTAACAGTGATTAAAGACCTGTGAACCATGGCTAGGGAAATTTTTATCTGGTTTTGGCACAATCATAATTTTATCTTTTGTAATTACCCTTTTAAGTTTTCTGAGGTTCAAGTACAGCTTCTACCCACAGCAGCCCTCAAGGAAACAAAAATTCAGGACACTATATTTCTATTTCTTCCTCAAAATTAAACAGGTAAAGAAGAAAGGGACCTTGACTACATAAATATATAAGTGTATGAGTAAGTATATAAGTGTAAGAGTTGTGTTTTACATACACATCCAGTTGACTTATTACTGTGGAGTACAATAGGATACATACTTAGGATACAAATGTACTGGGGTTCATTATCTTTTTCTCAGTTGAATTAGGCAACACAAGTCATACTCCATGCTTGTTCAGCTGATCAGAACCCCATAGTAAGTGTTATTTTGGTGGTGGTGCTACATGGACAAGTTATAATTGGTGCTGTCAGGAAAAGAAACAAAAACTTGGAATGTTCTGTAACTGTTCTATCAATAATACTTTCAACACTGTCAGGTCTCTATCAATATGTGATTTTCAAGTAACAAGTCTGTATTTTTCCATTAATTGTATTTTTTGAATTGTTTGTTGTAGAGATAGGATCTTGCTCTGTTGCCCAGGCTTGGAGTGTAGTGACGTGATGACAGCTCACTGCAGCCTCGAACTCCTGGGCCCCAGCACTCTTAGTTGTATTGATATTTCTCAGAGCAGGGGTGAACACATTTTTTTTCTTTTGAGACAAGTTCTCACTGTGTCATGCAGGCTAGAGTACAATGGTGTCATCTTAGCTCTTTGTACCTTCAGACTCCTGGGCTCAAGTGATCCTCCTGCCTTAGCCTCCTGAGTAGCTGAGACTATTGGTGCACACTACCATGCTCAGCTAAGTTTTTAAATTTTTTGGCAGAGGTGGGATTCTTGCTGTGTTGCCCAGGCTGGTCTCAAGCTCCTGGGTTCAAACATTCCTCCATCTTGACCTCCAAAAGTGCTGAATTTATAGATGTGAGTTACTGAACCTGGCCTCTTTACACCATCTTCTCAGTCACTATACACCTGCCACACTGACCTGCCTTCTGCTTCTTGGACATGCTAAGCCCAGGTGTACTTGCTATTCCTAGATGCTCTTCCTAAATCTTTGCATGGCTGACTCCCTCTTATCATTCAAGACTCAGGGTACATATCATGACCTCGAGAGCCTTCTCTGAGGACCTCTTACATAATAGTCCCTCCACCACCCCACTCCACCATCATTCTCAATTAGATTACCTTGTTTTCTTTTCTTTTCTTTTTTTTTTGAGACAGAGTCTCACTATGTTGCCCTCGGTAGACTGCCATGGCATCACAGCTCATAGCAACCAAACTCTTAGGCTTAAATGATTCTCTTGCCTCAACCTCCCAAGTAGCTGGGACTACAAGCGCCCGCCACAACGCCTGACTATTTTTTTGTTGCAGTTGTCATTGCTGTTTAGCAGGCCTGAGCCGGGTTTGAACCCACCAGCCTCAGTACCTGTGGCTGGCGCCGTAACCACTGTGCTAAGGGTGCTGAGCCATTTTATTTTCTTTATGGTACTATTGCTCTCTACAGTGATCTCTCTCTCTCTCTCTCTCTCTCTCTCTTTTTTTTTTTTGTGACAGAGTCTCACTTTGTCTCCCTCTGTAGAGTTCCGTAACATCATAACTCACAGCAACTTCAAACTCTTGGGCTGAAGCGATTCTCTTGCCTCAGCCTCCCTAGCAGCTGGGACTAAAGGTGCCTCCCACAACATCCAGCTATTTTTTGTTTTTGTTGTTGCTGTTGTTTGTTTGTTTAGCAGGCCCAGGCCAGGTTTAAACCCTCCAGCCCTGGTGTAAGTGGCCAGTGCCCTAACCACTAAGCTACAGACGCCGAGCCTACAGTGATCTTAAGTCTTTGTTACTTAGTGTGTCAGCCCCTCATTTGTAGGAACCTTTTCACTGCTAAATCCCCTGAGGCCAAATGAATAGGTGTTCAATTTTAATCAGCCTGTAAGGAAAATCTTTTGAGCAACAGAAAATTACATCACTATGTATTCCTGGAAAAAGTGTTAGGTCACTGATAATGACCTTGGAGGAAAAGCATGTTGTTTGGACTTCCTGTTTCCTTCTGAGTTAAGACATCATAAAATGGAATTTTGTTTTTATCTAAAGTGCTATAAATTTTTCAGATACCAGAAATACCATAATAAAATATAAGAACATGGAAATTGTTCCAAATAAACCTCACTTATGAATTCTTTTATGGGATCATCTTAAAGTGAAATTGACCTAAAAAGAAGTTCTGGCCAGGCCTGGGGACTCAAACCTATAATCCTAGCACTCTGGGAGGTTGAGGCAGGAGAATTGCTTGAAGTCAGAAGTTCTAGACCAGCCTGAGCAAGAGTGAGAACGCTGTTTCTACTAAAAATAGAAAAAAATTAGCCAAGTGTGGTAGTATGCACCTGTAGTCCCAGCTAGCTACTCGGGAGGCTGAGGCAAGAGGATCTCTTGAGCCTAGTAGTTCCAGGTTGCTGTGAGCTATGATGATGCCACTACACTCTAGCCTGGGTGATAGAGTGAGACTCTGTCTCAAAAAAAAAAAAAAAGAAGTTCTTCACTAGTAAGTAATTGATACCCCTTGGATAAAGTCTAATGTGGCATTTTAATTGCAGAATATATTTTACGACACCCTGCCCAACTATTCAAATCCAGCTATTACTACTTCTTCCAAATACCACGGTTCCCGGAATTTATGTTCTCAATAAATGATTTCAAGGTAAGCCAAATCAATAATGTATTATTATTATCAATGAAAAATATTTTTAATTAAAGTCCATTTGTAAGAAATAAAACTGGCTCAGCACCTATAGCTCAACCGGCTAAGGCAGCAGCCACGTACACCTAAGGTGGCGGGTTCGAATCCCCAGCCCGGACCCGCCAAAACAACAATGACACCTGCAACCAAAAAATAGCCGGGCGTTGTGGCGGGCACCTGTGGTCCCAGCTACTTGGGAGGCGGAGGCAGGAGACTCGCTTGAGCCCAGGAGTTGGAGGTTGCTGTGAGCTGTAATGCCATGGCACTCTACCCAGGGGGACAGCTTGAGGCTCTGTCTCAAACAAAAAAAAAAAAAAAAGAAATAAAACTGAAAAATAAAGAAAAAATGTTAAAACTTATATGACTAGACACCAAAAAGACAGGATGCTTCTCATAAGGGTGACGTGGGCACGGGGGATTAGGAAGGAAAACTCTCAAAAGTAAAGCCAAGAACACAGAAATGTATTTAATGTGTAAGTTTGTAAATGAGGTCCCCAACTTGGCTAGAGTTGTCACTGCACAATGACCACCATCCCCTCTCAACAGCCAAAGATTTAGTTTGTTATTAGCTAAATAAAAAGTTTTAATTATTCTCTTTTCACTAAATTAGGCTTTGAAACAGCTGTTTACCAGTCATAGCACTGGCATTGGAAGAAAAGGACGTCAGTTAACAACCGAAGATCTTGAAGCTTATGTTTATGTCTTTTCTCAGCCCGGAGCATTATGTGGTCCCATTAACCATTACCGAAATATCTTCAGGTCAGTATAACCTCTTTCTATTTAAGGAAAATATTTCAATCTTGTCCTAAGGAGACAATATTTTATTTTAAGATTAAGTTCACCACTTATTCAAAGACTGAAAGTATTTTCATCTGTTTAGTAAGTTGCATAATCTTTATTATGGACAATTTCAAATATCCGGAAAAGCAAAGAGACTAATATAAAGGATCACCCATATAACTGACACTTGTTTTATCCCTAGCTCTAGACACTTATTCTCTTCCTTTGTATTGTTTTCAGTAGATGTATATTTTTAGGGGTTTTTTTTTTTAGTCATATTTTTAATGATCATTTATTTTTTCAAGAAATATTTAGTAAGCACTTTCTATGTTCTAGGCTATGTTAGTACTCAGGACACAGTAATAAGAAAAAGCTAGACAAAGTTCCTGATTTCACAAAACTTGTTGTCTAGTAAACAGATATTTAGCAAATAACCACAGTAATGAGTGAACAGGTGTAAACTAATAGAAATGCTTTAAAATAAAGTGATGAGAACTGAGGAAATGATGAACAAAGAAGTGAAAGATGAGATAGATATTGATGGGGTGGTGCCTGTGGCTCAGAGAGTAGGGCGCTGGCCCCATATGCTGGAGGTGGCGGGTTCAAACCCAGCCCTAGTCAAAAACTTCAAAAAGAAAAAAAAAAAAGAGAGATAGATATTGATAGGCAAAAATGAGGACCAGAGGCCTAGCTTTCCAGAAGAAGGGAACAGCAATGCCACAGCTGTATGGGGAGATGGAGAATTGGGGCTTCAAGCAGCAGAATTAAAGCCAGTGTGATGGGAGCCCAGGAAGTCAGGGTGAAGAGAAGAGCGTGAAATTTGGATGGGTTCATGAGGTAGACAGCAGCTGGCCATGCAGAGCCCAGCCACAGAGTTGAGGCCAAAGAATGTGAGTTTCAAGAAGAAAAGAAAAATCAGTGCAATGTATATTTGGATAAGTCACTCAGGCTGGAGAATATATTGGAGGAGATTTGAACAAATGTTACGAAACTGCAGCAATCCAGGCTACAGATGATAATAGCTTGAAAACAGCAGAGATGGGGAAAGTGGGTAGGTTTCTTTTTTTTTAAGAGATGAGGTCTTATTACATTGCCTAGGCTGGCCTCAAACTCTGGCTTCAAGAAATCCTTCTTCAGCCTCTCAAGTAACTGGATGAACCATCACACCCAACTGAAAGTGAATGGATTTAAGAAATACTTAAGAGAAAAACTGGCAGGTATTGTAATTCTCCTGCCTCAGCCTCCCAAGTAGCTGGGACTATAGACGCCCACCTGGCTACTTTTTGTTGCAGTTGTCCTTGTTTAGCCGGCCCAGGCTGCGTTCGAACCTGCCAGCCTGGGTGTATGTGGCTGGCGCCACAACCACTGCTATGGGTGCTGAGCCATGAACAGCTTTTCATAGGTAAGCAACGCCAAGTACACCATTAAAAAGAGCTATGTGACATATATTAACCCTACAAATAGGTATATTATACATTACACACAGGTATATTATACATTACACACAGGTATATTATTACATTATACACAGGCGGGAAGATAGCCCTCATTCACTACTCTGAGCTTCCTTGGGACTATAGCCTCATCCCAGAACTCTCCAAACTTAGGAACTAAGGAACCTGGGTAAACTAGGAATAAGACTACCTCTAAAACCTTCATTGCCAAAAGATAAATCTAAACCTATAATGAAGCATCAAATAATAAAGCAAAAATTCACAAACTTAAAGGGAAAAATGGACAAATCCACAATGACTGTAGGAGAATCCTAACCCACCTCTCTTGGAAGCTGATCAGTTAAGCAGAAAAAAATGATAAGGATATAGAAGATATGAAAAACTCTATTGATATCTTTGATCTGATGAACAATTCTAGAATTCTGCACCCAGCGATTAAAAAACACACATTGTTTTCAATTTCATAAAGAGTGTTTACAAAAACTATTTACATAAAGGACTACAAAGCAAGTCTTCACCATTACAAAAAAAAAGTGCTAATGTATTATCTTCTCTGAACACATTACCATTGGAAATTAACAACAACAGCTTTCTTAGAAAACTTGATATATTCAGAAATTTGAAAAATACTTATAAATAACTCATGGATTAAAAATAAAATCACAACAATAGCTGGGTGTGGTGGCATACCCAGGATCCCAGTTGCTCCAGAGACTGAGGCAAGATAATCACTGAGCCCAGGAGTTGAGACTGCAGTGAGGCCAGTCTCAAGAGTGCATGTTGGCTCGGCGCCTATAGCTCAACCGGCTAAGGCGCCAGCCACGTACACCTAAGGTGGCGGGTTCGAATCCCCAGCCCGGACCCGCCAAACAACAATGATGGCTGCAACCAAAAAATAGCCGGGCGTTGTGGCGGGCGCCTGTGGTCCCAGCTACTTGGGAGGCAGAGGCAAGAGACTCGCTTGAGCCCAGGAGTTGGAGGTTGCTGTGAGCTGTAATGCCATGGCACTCTACCCACGGGGAAAGCTTGAGGCTCTGTCTCAAAAAATAAATTAAAAAAAAAAAAAAGAGTGCATGTTCAGGCCAGTGCGCTCCAGCCTGGGTAACAGAGTGAGACCTCATTTCCTTAAAAAAAAAAAAAAAAAAAAAATTAGTGAAAACATAGGGAAAAATGATGGTTTCAAAACATGTGCAAGGTTATTCATTTCTCAAATCCACTATTGCTGACCACTGACCCTATCCAATATAGATATATCATAAAGAAAGATTTAATATCCTTGATTGTATTTTTTTTCTTTTTGAGACAGAGTATCACTATGTCTCCCCTGATGGAATGGCATGGTGGTACAGCTCACAGCAACCTCAAACTCTTGGGCTTAAGCGATTCTCTTGCCTCAGCCTCCTGAGTACCTGGGACTACAGGTGCCTGCCACAACACCCGGCTGTTTTTTGGTTGTAGGTGTCATTGTTGTTTGGCGGGCCTGGGCTGGATTCAAACCCATCAGCTCCAGAGTATGTGGCTGGCGCCCTAGCTGCTGAGCAACCGGTGCTGATCCATCCTTGACTGTATTTATCAAAATAGTTTTTTCCTTAAAAACTCAAACCTGGTGCTATGGGAAGAGTTAACATATCCTAGCTGAGGACTGGAAACTTAGACAAGCATTTGTTCAATAAACAAATTAATGACTATCATTAAAACACAAACAAAACATGTGACATACAGTTAAAAACAATACTTAGGAAGAAATACACAATGCTTACATTAGAAAAGCGAATTGAAAATTAGTGAGCTAAGAGTTCAGTTCAAGAAGTTGGAAACAGAATAACATGTAAACAAAAATAAATTAGGAGGAAGATAATTTAAAATAGATAAAAAGCAGAAATGAATACAAGAGGAACAAAGACACAGTAGAGGCAAGTGATAAAACCAGAACCAGATTCTTTGAAGGCTATTAAGATAGATAGACCCACCTATGATCCTGGCACCAAATTTGGGAGGCCCAGGCCAGTAGTTCAACACCAGCCTGCATACGAGACAGACCTATCTCTACAAAAAATAGAGAAATTAGGCATGCAGGCTGGTGCGTGTCTTTAGTCCCAGGTACTTGAAAAGCTGAGGCAGGAGGATCACTTGAGCCCAGGAGTTGCAGTGAGCTATAATGCGGCCACTGCATTCTAACCACAGAGCAAGACTCAGTCTCAAAAGAAAAAAAAAAGATAAATAATATTAGAAACCAGGAAACAGTGAACATAACTACAAATATAACAGATGTTAAAATGTAAGATTTTAGCTAAATAAATTTAGAATTTTGACAAAATGGGTACTTTTTGAGAAAAACACAACATCTAAAAATGACTCATGAAGAACTTAGAAAACCAAATAGACCAAATAGGAGTATTAATTTAAAGCAAAAGCACACATTGACACACAAATACACACCCTTACACATAAGCCTAGTTGATTCTTCTGGTAAGTTCTACCACAGAAAAGCCCACTATTTTAGACATTACTAAAAGAAGTATTTAGCTCATTTTATGAGATAATATAACTTTCATATCAAACAAGACAAGAATTGTATAAGACAGGCAAATTACAGGTCAATTTAAGTTATAAGTATATATCCACAAATTCAAAATATAATATTATCAAACTGAATTCAGCATGTATTAAAAAGTTAAACCAAGAGGCTAGGTTTGGTGGCTCATGCCTATAATCCCAACACTCTGGGAGGCTGGAGTAGGTGGATTACTTGAACTCAAACATTCCAGACCAGCCTAAGCAAAACAGAGATGAGACCCTATCTCTAAAACTAGCCAGGCGTGGTGGCGGGCACCTGTAATCTCAACTATTTGGGAGGCTGAGGCAAGAGAATGGCTTGAGCCCAGGAGTTTGAGGTTGCTATGAGCTATGAGGCCACTGCACTCTACCTAGGATTACAAAGTGCGACTCTGTCTAAAAAAAAGAAAAAAAGAAAAGAAAATGCATAGAATATGACCAAAACATTATTTTTTGATGATGGAATGATTTTTTTTTTTTTAAGACAGGGCCTCAAGCTGTCGCCCTGGGTAGGGTGTCATGGCATCACAGCTCGCAGCAACCTCCAACTCCTGGGCTCAAGTGATTCTCCTACCTCCACCTCCCAAGTAGCTGGGACTACAGGCACCTGCCACAATGCCCGGCTATTATATTTTATTTTATTTTTTGGTTGCAGCCATCATTGTCATTTGGCAGTCCTGGGCTGGATTCAAACCCACCAGCTCAGGTGTATGTGGCTGGCACCTTAGCTGTTTGAGCCACAGGCACCAAGCCTTTTATTTTGGCTGGTCTGGAACGTCTGAGTTCAAGCAATCCACCTACTCCAGCCTCCCAAAGTGCTGGGATTTTAGGCATGAGTCACCAAACCCAAGCCAAGAGTGTGGTAGTGTCATCATAGCTTGCTGCAAACTCAAACTCTTGGGTCAAGCAATCCTCCTACATTGGCCTCCTAAGATTACTGAGATTGCAGGTATTAGCCACCATACCCAGCCCATGATTTTATTTTTATATTTTTCTGTATTTAAGAAAATACACAGTAAAAACTTTATGTCTTAAGCCTGAGCAACATAGCAAGATCCTGACTCTACCAAACAAATTTTGAAAAATTAGCCAAGCTTGGTGACCTGCTCTCATTGTTCCAGTTACTTGGGAGGCTAAGGTGGGAGGATCACTTGAGCCCAGGACTTGAAGTTACAGTAAGCTATGATGTCACCACTGGAGTCTAGCCTGGGCAACAAGCAAGGCCCTGTCTCAAAACAAAACCAATCAAAAAAAAAAAACCACACTTTATGTTTTAAAAAGAACATTCTTGGAAAATAAATATAGTATACATAATATTAAAACTTAGTTCATATATGTTTTCTGATTTTTTTAGCTCCAATTTTCATATATAATACATATATTACCTAAGAACAATTAAAAAAAAATTTATTTTAAGACAGAGTCTCACTGCTCAGCACCTGTGGCTCAAGTAGATAAAGTGCCAGCCACATACACCTGAGCTGGTAGGTTTGAATCCAGCCTGGGCTCACCAAACAACATTGATGACTGCAACCAAAAAATAGCTGGGCATTGTGGTGGGCACCTGTAGTCCCAGCTACTTGGGAGGCAGAGGCAGGGGAATCGCTTAAACCCAGGAGCTGGAGGTTGCTGTGAGCTATGATGCCACGGTACTCTATCCAGGGTGACAGCTTGAGGCTATGTCTCAAAAAAAAAAAAAAAAAAAAAGACAGAGTCTCACTAGGTTGCCCTCTGTAGAATGTCATAGCATCATAGCTCACAGTAACCTCAAACTCCTAGGCTCAAGTGATTCTCTGGTCTCAGCTTCCCAAGTACCTGGGACTACAGGTGCCTGCCACAACTCCCAGCTATTTCTAGAGACAGGGTCTTGCTTTTGCTGAGGCTGGTCTTGAACTCCTGGGCTCAAGCAATCTGCCCATCTCAGCCTCCCAAAGTGCTAGGATTACAGGCATGAGCCACCGTACCTGGCCAATTTAAAATATATTTAAACGGTAACACAGCATAAAGCGGTCTTTCATCACACCAATTCAAAAAATCTGGTATCCTTTTAAAGAAAAGTATTCCTCATAGTGATGAATTCCTTATTTAATTTATAGCCTTCATTATACATTTTGCTAAGCTCACTCAATTTAAAATTTTATTAGATCTTTTCTTAAATAGCCTTTAATTTTTTTTATTGTACAGGTTGATTGCCTAATGCAGTATTTCTCAACCATTTCTTCATTATTTCCCTAAGAAGCCTTTTTAGACATTTTTTCCTAATCACTCCCACCCCATGAAATTTTAATATCCGTTTTTATACTATCTGTATAGCCATGCTTTATATACATTAAGACTAAGATTTCTTTTACCTTCCCAAGAACCAGTTTTTGCCTGTTTGGAGGCACTATTGCCCCCTTTGAGAAGGCTTAGCGGAACATTATAGAAAAAAGTTACTTTAACTTTTGCAATTGTTGTACCTGTCCTGCCCTGAAAAGATAGACTCAGACCCCACTTAGAAGTAATTAATTGGTGATTTATTACACCTGTGCAGGGGACTGCTGCCCTGAGAGGCAGTCTGCCTTGAAGTAGAGAGCAGGTCATCTTTTATACTCTTTTTGTGTAGTTAAGCAAGCAGGCCAGTGCAGAAGCGAAAAGTTGTGGTTAGCTCGGGGCAGGGTTACAGCCTGGGTAACAATGGAATACTGCTTGGGTAACACAGCTTAGGTAGGTTTCCCACTATTGTTTGTTCACCAGGGACTAGGGGTTTTTTTGTGAACTTCGGAACTTTCTGTGCTTCCTTATTCTGAAGCCTTTTCTCAGAATCAACCCTGGGGGGGGGGTGGAGCTGGGAGACAGAATGGGAATGGGAACTTGCCCATTACACGATGACTCTCAAGGTCCTGTGTTTTGTTTTATAGCTGCCTGCCTCTCAAACACCACATGGTGACCACTCCAACACTGCTACTATGGGGAGAAAAAGACGCATTTATGGAAGTAGAGATGGCTGAAGTCACAAAGATTTATGTTAAAAACTATTTCAGGCTAACTATTTTGTCAGAAGCCAGTCATTGGCTTCAGCAAGACCAACCTGACATAGTGAACAAATTGATATGGACATTTCTAAAAGAAGAAACAAGGAAAAAAGAATGACTTTTCTTTATCTTTTGTGAGGGGTCTGTAATGAAATCTCTAAATGATTTTTAAAAATTGTTCATCAACTTCTTTACATTACATCAGGAAAAACCTGTTTTAATATGCTTTATCATAAATATCCTAACAAATGGTATGGGGAAAAAAATCTTAGAATGTGTGAACATATAATGTTGATTTTCTTCTGTTGTATTTTTGCACAGAAAAGCATTTGCCTTAAAATGTATATATACTTGTATGCGAAGGAAATTGGGGAAAATGGCTCAGTTTTGGTTTCTTGCTTTCTTTACTCTGTTGACATATGGTGCCTTTTACAAATGTATATTAAAGATTAGTTGTGCCATATTAAAAGACAAACCTGCGATGGTATAAATTTTCATTTCATTGTTCAAAAGTTATTTTTACTTTTTTTTTACTATTTTATAATCATTAAAAATTTTAGCATCGCAACTATTGGATTTATAGTATATCTATCAGCTTGAAGGCAAATATAACTACATAAATGTGCATACTTCAAATTGACCGTAATTACCATTTATACTAGGAACATTAAGGTGTTTTTTAAAACTGATATGTTGGGCCTCACCCCTATAATCCTACTGCTCTGGGAGGCCGAGGCTCAGGTGTTTTGCCTAAACTCAGGAGTTCGAGACCAACCTGAGCAAGAGCAAGATCCCATCACTACCAAAATTAGACAAACTGAGTGTTTGTGGCAGGAGCCTGTAGTCTCAGCTACTTGGAGGCCAAGGCATGAGGATCACTTGAGCCTAGGAGTTTGAGGTTGCTGTGAGCTACGATGATGCCATGGCACTCAACCCCAGTGTGACAAAATGAGATTCTGTCTTCAAAAAAAAAAAATATATATATATATATACACACACACACACTCGCACATAAATATAAAGGGTACACATAAAGTTTATGTGCAAGTTACTATGTTAAACTATTATTTTTTTTTGATACAGAGTCTCACTTTGTTACCGTTGGTAGAGTGCCGTGGCATCATAACTCACAGCAATCTCAAACTCTTGGGCTTAGGCACCCACCACAACACCCAGCTGTTTTTTAGAGATGGGATCTCCCTCTTTCTCAGGCTGGTCTCAAACTTCTGAGCTCAGGCAATCCGCCCGCCTAGGCCTCCCAAAGTGCTGGGATTACAGGCATGAGCCACCACTATGTTAAACTATTTTAAATTGTACATAAACTTTATGCCCACCCTATACATATAAGGCGTGGCAACGTGAAAGTTTCTCTTAGGAAGTATACTCGTAATGCAGTTAAATAAGGGTTCAAAAGTGGAAACAAACATTACTAGTAAGATTGGGGAAGAGTTGCAGTGTAGAAAACAATACCAGCTCAAGGGACTACTACTTGTTCTCTTGGGTGTCTCTCCTTTGACATGGGAGACAGCCAGTAACATTGCCAAATAATAGCACCTTAGAGACGACAGTGTATTTCCATACAAGCTCTACAATGGTGAAACGAATGCTTCCCTCATCAAACACAGTAGTGATAGTGACAGAAGAGTGGAATGTCCTTAAGAATTCTTGTTATTGTATCATAGCAACTTGTATTGACAATACAAGGGCAATTTTTTATATACATTATATTGGCCCCTCATATAACATTGAAAGGTAGGAGTGTTGCCAATCTGTAGGTGTAAAAACGAGATTTAACCAATAACTTTGCCAATGCCCCATTGTAAGTGCTGGTGCCAGGATGTGACCTAAATCCATCTAACTGTAAAGCCCATGATCTTTCTACTGAATATCACACTCCATTTAACAGACTTTGGTGTCCTCCACTCTTCCTGTTTCAGCAGTGACCTGGTGTGTTTCAATAGATAGAAACATCTCTCAGAAACCTGCAACTTTGACCTTTAATTATGGGAAAAGGAATTCAAATTAGGAATTAGCAAACAGGAATATTCTATAGAGCACTGTCAGAGTTACACAGGCTACAAAGTATAGCAGCAAGTTTCACGCCAACTTTCTTTTTTGTTTTTTTAGACAAGCCTCAAGCTGTGGCCCTGGGGAGAGTGCTGTGGCATCAGAGCTCACAGCAACTTCCAATTGCTTGAGCTCCAGCTTCTGGGATCAAGCAATTCTCCTGCCTCAGCCTCCCAACAGGCACCTGCCACAAATAGCCTGCCTGGCTATTTTTTTTAGTTACAGCTGTCGTTGTTTGGCGGGCCTGGTCTGGATTCGAACCTGCCCGCTCAGGTGTATGTGGCTGGCACCTTAGCCGCTTGAGCCACAGGCACCGAGCCAGCTTCACTCCAACTTTGTGCTTCCCTCCAGATCATTTCCAATGGGCAGCAACAAAGGAATAGAGCTTGCCGACTGTGGGTATGGATACAATAAATCCTGACTTATTTTAATGAAAACCTGTTACTGACAAAGGTGATTTTTAAGGTTTATTGTTGATGCTGTGTCAGTTTGGACAGATTCCTGTAGACTAATGTTCAGACTATAAATCAAACCTGACATGGAAGTCTGGTCCGTCATAATGAATGTACTCTAATTTTCAATGGATATGGAAAAGTACTTGTAACAGACATAAAGACTCAAGGGTGCCAATAAAGCCTCTCAAGATAGGGAAGTATTATTGTCTCCATCGAAATCAATGTGTAGGCAAAGTATTATAGATGAACTTGACTTACCACCAAAACAAATCACAGTAAGTAAACATTACTAGTAATGGCACCTAAATTAATAAGTTGTAATTAACATTCATCTATTCAGATTAGTATATCCCCACTAGGTATATAATATACATCTCAGAAGTTATGTGAGAATAATTTTATTAAGCATATATGTCCAAAGCAAGATGTTTGCCAAAAAAAAAAAAAGAAGAAAAAAGACTGTTGATAGGATTCTAATTCTCCTGTTACCAAATTTACCATCTTTGGTTTTTCTGATTTTAAAGGTAACACATCCCTTCCCATTATCCACAGTTGCCTCTGAGAGTTATAATTATGTGCAAACTGAAAAAGCATTTGAAAGTGGGGGCGGCGTGTACACCAGAGGCTGTCCCCAGATCCAGGCTACCCATATCCTGCATCTACAGGGAGGTGGGCTTCGTGGCTCTGGACTCCAAGGTGGAGGTGAGAGAGTGTGGAATCGCCCTGGAGGCGATCAAGTCCTTTTACCCTCCGGTGGTGGCCAATCTCTTCTGGCAGCAGGGAGCCTGCATCATCATCATCTTGGGGGTGGGAGGGGTGTGAGCTCGTGCCAGGGCTAGTGACCTGCTTCCCCTTTCTCCAACGTGAGCTGACCAGGGCAGGCCCGCCAACAGTTGGAGAGGAAAAGCGGTGAAACCAGCCCTAGAGCTCCTGCTTCAGGCAGCAATCTTTTTAACTGGGTTCTTGGTGAAAGGGAAAGGGAAAAAAAACACCTGGGAGGAGGTCCCCATCTTCCTCATGGCACCACACTCCACTTTCTTTGACACCATCGCCCGTGCTGTGGCCGAGTTACCTTCCGTGTTCTCCGCAAGTCAAAATCCGCAGATCCCTTTGGCTGGGAAATTCCTTTTGTTAACGCAGCCAGTGCTTGGGACCCAAGAAGACCCCTATTCCAAGAAGAATACCTGGAATGAAATCCTGAAGCGAGTGACATCCTGAGGGAAGTGCTCACAGATCCTGATTTCCCAGGAGTGTGTGCCCAGTCCCCCCGTCTTGGTGCTTTTAAACTAGACGCCTTCTTTTCAGGGGTCCCTTTGCAGCACCCGACCACCCTGAACATGGTGACCTGGACTTGGCAGGAGTTTACAGGCTTCCAGGCCTGTATGTTGACCCTTCACCAGAGTAGAAGTTAAGTTTATGCTTGCTTATATCCCAAATTATGAGCACCCCATTTTTTTTTGCCAGTACTGTACTCATCAGCATAGCCAATGCTGTGGGTGCCTATACAGAGCGTCCTTAGGGAGACTGCAGAGCGGTGTTTTCCACAGGTAATTTTCATCTACCCATGGAAGCTGGTTTGGTGGAATTTACAAAAATTAGCCAGAAATTGAAATTAGATTGGGACAATATTCATAAGCATTTGGATGAATTGGCTGCAATTGAAGTTGTCTGAAACGGAAGGAAGATAGGAATTGAAGAATTCTCAGTGTGTGTAAAACTTCCAGTTTCAGAGCCCTTGAAATAAACTTCTGCCCTCTTAAACAGGAATAGTGATGGTGACACAGACTTCAGAGAGCATGCGATAGGTCTGAGGGTCCTATGCAATCCCACCAACACTGAAAAGATTTTGCAGAGGTCATTTTAAGCTTTTTGATTTTGATGAGGTTGGTTTACTAAGGGAATAGGACTTCACTACTGCACTTCAGGCAGCTTTTAGAGTCCCAAATCTTGATGTTTCCAGAGTTAGGAAATAGCTGGACAGAACTCAGTGTACTTTCATACAAGAGATTTAAGAAATTTGCCCTGAAGCATCCAATATATGCCAAGTTATTTAATTCCTACTTAGACCTCCAGGCAGCCTACATATATTCATTACTCCAAGAAGTACAGTCTTTTTTTTTTTTAAAGATTTTTTTATTAAATTATAGCTGTGTACATTAATGCAATCACAGGATACAGTGTGGTGTTTTCATATACATTTTGAAATACTCTTATCAAACTGGTTAACATAGCCTTCATGTCATTTTCTTAGTTATTGAGTTAAGACAGTCATACTCTGCTTTTAGAAAGATTCACTTATACCCTTGTAGGATAAACCATAGAGGTGACCCCTCCAATCACCCTCCCTCCATCCATCCACCCCCCCCTCCTCTTCCCTCTCCCTCCCCTGTCCCCATATTCTAAGGCTATAATTAGGTTATAACATTCCTATGAATGCTATAAATAAGAAGTACAGTCTTAATCACTGTATTCAAAGGTTACAAGTTAGCTCAGAAAATGGTGAAAATGCCTTCTACATAGGAACTATTTTTGAAATAAAAATTATCCTTTGAGGAAGAACTCAATAGTTTTCACTCTAAGTGGTATGGTCACTTTATCATGATATGTGAAGTGTGCTTGAGGAATATTTCAATGGCATTTTATAGTGCCCACTTTTTTCTTTCTTAAGATAAAATTTGTCTTAATCTGACCTAAAAAAATTAAGTGATCTGGTCATAAACCTTATTCACTCAGCAGGGCTCTAGTTACTGCCTTTTTTTGTTTGTTTGTTTCATGCTACAATAAGGCCAGAGGAAAATCATAACCAATCATTTCTCCCTTACTCCTGCAGAAAAAAAAAACTCATTAAGCAGTCAATAAATACATTAAATTACCATTTGATCTCCTCTGGAAAAAAGGAGATAAATCTCTTTGCTCATTTGAAAAGTAGCCCAAATTTTCCTTTTTTTCAAAACAAAATAAAAATAAATATCAGGAAGGTAATAGTATTAGAAATACTATTGTAATTGTTATGTATGGTATGGCTCACCCTGCTGCATA